TGGCTCAGTGGGGAGGAGCTGAGCTGCTGGGAGCAAAGGGTGAGCAAAGTGGCACGTCAGGCTCACAGAGTGGACTCAAGTATCTCAACTTTAAAGCAGGCAATGAATTTCAGTCTTCACCTTGATCATGGGTCTTCTGGTTGAACCCTTCTCTTTGCTACCCTTTGAAATTGCAGCCTCTCTTGTCTCCTGGGTGGAATTAATTCAGTGCATTTCTGTATGTAATTCATCACTACAGTGTTTCTGCTGCTTCAAGGCCTCTTTCTGCAGTGCCTTCTGCTTTAGAATGGGAATAAGATCTCCAGCAGCCTGGAATGAGACTGGCTAAATCAGTTATCTCAGCACAGCCCTAGCCTATTCAACATAAACCTAGGCTGAATGTAATCTGGGAACATAGTAAGAAGAGTCACTACTAATTAATCTGAGGTGTCAAGTTCTTAGTGAGCAACTTACAGGACTGGTGCAACATCTTTTATATTTACCTCAGCACTTGCTGCAGTGGTACTTAAAGATCTTGGGGAGCTTTAGTCACAACCAGCTGTTACTGCCCTCCCAAGGCACTCTGGTGTCGATGACTGAATACCCATGCAGCCTGGTGTTGGTAAAAGGAGAAAAGTAGCCAAAACAAAGTGGTTTAATGGCACAGACTACTGACAGTGACTGTGTGACAGGCTACATTGTGTTTTTTGTCTAGCTGGCTTTCCCTGAGGAGAAAGTCCCTGGGTTGGTTGGCCTGCTAAAAAGCTAGAAGGCTGTGTCAGGCTGTGATTTTCAGGCCTTTGAGTGTCTTTTTAATTGGTAGAATAACCTGAGCTGTCAGCACTAGAGAGACATCTCTGATAGCACCCTCAGGGTTTCCAAGTAGTGGTCTAGTAAAAAAGTTCACGGGCTACTGGTGATAATCAGTTAATGGGAGTAACCGAGTTCTTCAGCAGTGCTACCTGCCAGTGCTGTGTTTTGCCACGTGACTTGCCTGTGGAAATGCTTATAATGTCATCTTTTGTTTTCAAAGGTCTGTTTCCACTGTAGAGAACCTGGCCATGGTGTTGCTGATTGTCCTGCTGTGCTGGAAAGTCAGGACATGGGAACAGGAATCTGTTACCGCTGCGGCTCCACGGAGCATGACATCAGCCAGTGCAAAGCCAAAGTAGATCCAGCTGTTGGTATGTCCCAGAATTTCCCAAGGGGTTTGTTCTTGAGTTTTCTGACTACTGAAATACAGTGTTTTAGTACATTAAGTTTTCTGAGGAGATAAGCTTACATTTTTAAAGGGCTTCAGCACTACAGCTGTGAGCCTGACAGTGCAGTGCTTGCAGAAAAATAGCACAGTATTACAAATATAGTGTGTTCACAGTTGTCTGTAGCTTTGTAAAGATTTCCAGTGTGAATCATAAATTGTCTGGGATTTTGCAGGGCCATTCCCATATGCAAAATGTTTCATCTGTGGTGAGATGGGGCATCTGTCAAGGTCATGTCCAGATAATCCCAAGGGATTGTATGCTGAAGGTGAGTGTACTGATTTGCTAAAACCGAAACATATTTTTCATACTTGCATGGTACAAAGAAAGGTAACATTTCAAGTGAATGAGAATCAAACTAAAATAAATTTCTGAATATCTTTTAGTCTTGGTAAAAGCAGATGAATTCTGGGGAGTTTTTGGAAATTCAGTGCTCATACTGGTTACCTAGGGACTTCTGTTTAATTGTAAGCTTAGTGTTAAGCAACAAGATGAGATGCAAGATGGGAGAACGTGCTTGTGCTTGTAGCTTTCAAGGGGCAGACAAACAAACAAAAGCATAATAGGCTGAATGTGTGTAGTCAGTGTGTATTTAAAGTGCATATACCAAGTTATGTGGTAAAGTCATCATCTCATCCTATAGCTTGAGACCTTGGGAGGTGTTAATGCAAAACGAGGTCTCTCAATGGAAAGTGGGCAGTGTCTGTTTAGATGACTTTATTGAGAAATCCAGGTTTGAAGTTTTCACTCAGATGCTGCTCTGCCTGCTTTCTCTCGTGGCCCCAGCAAATAACATTCTCCCTCCCAGTACAAACTTAAGGTCTTGCAAACTCAAAAGAATGTTCTTAAAGCAGTTAAATTGAAAGAAGAATAGCTTTAGAGGCATTCCACTTGTACTTTTCATGTTTGGATTGTGAGTGGTATTTATATTTTGTATCTCTACTTGCAGTTGGATTGCCTGTCTCTCAGGAGCTCCTTTCAGTTTCAGAAGTTCCTATGAATAAGTAAATTTCAGCAGAATTCAGCTTTTTTTTTTTTCCTCAGAGAGCTTCAAACAGGTCAGAAGTACTCAGTATGTGGTGCTTTACAGAGCAGTGTAGTTACAAACAGCTCTTCCTGTCCACTGGGGACACAGAGGGAGCTGTGCCTGCAGACTGCCAAAGCTGAGTGTGTCTCCTCCAAGGTGTTGCATCATTGTGCCTGGCAGTGCAGACCTGTCCATTGGAACATCTCCTTTTTAGCAGTTTGTCACTACAGGAAACTAGAACAGGGTTTTTCACTATATGCACAAGAGGAAAACAGTGTAAGGGGGTTGCTTTGTGCTTGCTGCTCCCTGTTACTTTGTTTTTCTCCCACCTGAGTAACAACTTTTTCTTTTCACAGGGGGTGGCTGCAGACTTTGTGGCTCTGTGGAGCACTTCAGGAAGGATTGTCCAGAAAAACAGAACATAGGTGAGGTGCAGGGGAGTGCTCTGAGTGGGGTCTAATGTTTGTTTACTGCTTTGCCTGGCTTTGGTCAGGAAGAGGGGGCTTGAAGAGAGAACTTGCAGATAGCAAAGGTGACTTGCTTTGCAAATCAGTGCATGTGTCAGGGAGTCTAGGGAGGCGCAGGAAGTTGCACTGCAGAACGTGAAATTTCTGTTAAAAAAAAATCTAGCCTGTTGGTTTCTGAAGATAATATGACCTCGTGTATTTTTTAGTCAGTATTCATGCTGCTGTTCACACCTTTAGCAGCTGTAGAACAAAACTGGTGTCTTCTGAGGATTTATGTGTGAAGTGGTGGAACTGAATATAATGTCAGTGGCAGAGTGGTGGTCCTGGCAGCTCGCAAAAGCTGCATGTGCAGGCAAGTGTTGAAGTGATTCAAGGCAGGTGCGAAAGAGGAGACAAAAGATCTGTCCAGCTACATTTACCAGCTAATAAGCTTCTTAGTTATATGTTCTTCAGTTACTTGTGTGGGTGAAAAAAAACTGTCCTAAGACAGGCAGAAGTATCAGACAGGGATTTGAAGAGTGATTCTGTACTGAAGTGATGACACACTAGTGCATTTTTGTACTTTGTATGGTATATAGAACTTTTGGGTTAATGATACGCCACTTTTGTGGAATTTATCTAAAAATATGGAGGCACTGGAGGCCTATTCTTTAGCCGTTTTCTATATCTGATTTTACATATATGCTATTGCTGGTTCTGTGACAGTATGTGACATCCTAGATACATGCTGCTTTGCAAGTTCAGAACAAGTGAGATGAAGTCTTAACTGGTGTGATAGAATTTTCTGATGAAAAAAGACCCTTTAAAAAAACTGCCCCAGACACAGCCATAGCAAGTTGTTGGGCAGTGCCCAGCTCAGATGAGTGCTGAGCTGGGACCTGTAACCTAGCCCTTGTTGAGTTTCTCCACACCACAACACAATTTGAAAGAAGAGTTACGTAAGGAGGGTTGGCTTCAGAGCTAGACCTTAACAGACAGATCTTTGGTGAATTAATGGCAGGCCTTTGCAGGTCAAATCTTCCTCAAGGGAAGTCTGATACAGTGCTCAGCCTTTCCATAACCTCCTGTCTCTCCCTCTGCAGATCAGGTGACGGTTGGGCGATGGGCCGTTGGGATGAGCGCAGATTATGAAGAAATTGCAGAAACACCACAGCTGCAAAAAACAAAACAGAAAGTACCAAAAATTGTTACTTTTTGAAGACTCTTGGCTCTAAACCACAGTTAGCCTGAGGTGCTTCACTCCAGAGTAGTGACTACACAAGAGTGGATTGCTGGTTCCAGAAGATCAAGCAGACTGCTGCTGCTAAGTTATATTTTTGCCCCTCCTAATTTTTCCAGTTTGCTTCCCAGACTTACCCATTTTGCTGAAAGGCTGGTAGCAGCAGGAATTAGAAACTGGGTATTTTATTTTTACATACTTCTGCCGAAATACAGCATTCCTTCTGATCCAGTCAGAATTCCCTCTCACTGCCAGCTCTATGAAGAGTGAAATTTGCTTCTTCTTGTCACAGGGATCTGGCTGCAGTAACACAACAAGGTTTTATCATGGGGGTTTATGGTCATAAACCATGGTCACTGGATTTCAGTGGGCAGTATTGTTACCTCAAAGGTGCTGCTTTTATGTCTCAGAGATAACACAGTCATGCTGATATAATGATAATACTAAGAGTATTTCTTTATTTCTTTGAAAGGGGTTGTGGGTATTTTCTAAAGAGTTGTCTTGGTTTCTGGTTTGGCTTTGCCTTCTCCTTCTAGAAAGAAGTGATTTCTTGCTCTTTATGTGCCAGCTTCAGCACTCCAGTGTTGAGTTACCTGGTAGACCCTGCAGCCTGTAGAGACTGGCAGGGCAATTTCTGCTGTTTTTTGTTTGTGGTATATCAGGTAAAATCTGCACATGCATTAACCCGATTGTGTATGTTGGATTGTTTTTGTTCGCTAACAAGAACAGAATCATGCACGTCCTCTGATACCCATGGTGAATTACACCCTGGAAAGGGTTGGAGTGCAAGTGAGCAGCTTACTTAGTTTATTTACTTCTTACAAGGAGAGTGCACAAAAATCTTCAGTATTTCTGTTCCTTGGTGAGTGGGAGTAAACTTTGCTTTGTATTACATGTGCCTGCTTAATGGCAGATTCATTTATTTTTAAATGGAGAGTGCAGCCTGAAAAACCGGTAGATATTTTAAAAGTTCCAAAACCAGCTCAAAACGGAGTTCCTGCAGTAGCTCTCCACATACTCTAGTGATTCAGCCTTGGCAGCCTACAGTGGTGGGGCTAATCATCTGCCTTGAGACCAATGCTGAAGCACAATCTTTCTGCAGGGCTGCACCTTGAGCTCATTCCACACGTGGCCCTTCGCTCTGCACCAGCACCCTGGGCAGATGCTGTGGGCAGACCCTGTGCACTGTGTCTCTGCCCCGTGCTGTGTGACAGGCTTCTCCAGCTTCTACTGCAGCTGGGGATGCCATGGGACACGTGGTATTTCCATGTCCCAAAAATCTTAAATGTGCCTTCTAAAATAACTTCAGCTTGCATTATACCGCAGTAAGTTGCTGTTGCAGTCCTTGAGGGACAGCTATGCAGTGATAAAGGTATTGTTCCTAAAGGATTAACTTACCCTTTCCATCTGAGTGTCCTCAGAGTCCACACATCACCTTAGTGAGAACACAGGAGGAACACCAGGTAGCAAACCTGAGCTCAGGACTGGCTTTTGAGGGGCTTAGGACCAGGGTGCTGAAACCAGGGGTTTGGAACAGATTTTCTTGCAGTAAAAAAAACCAGCAAAACAAACAGGAATTCAGTTGTGGGGATATTTTTATGTTTGTACATGTTAATTATTTTCAATAAAACACTGCTGAAGAATTAAGACCACTTACTTTAGGTTTTCTGGTTCTGCTTTACACATTAATATAGGCACATAATATAAAGGCACATTACATTGACCAAGACAGGGCATGTATGTTCAGTTTGTAATAATCAGAGCCCACATTTAAATGGGGAAAAGTAGTGCATGTGGATGAAATAAAGGATTAATTATAGAGTTTTAATTAACTATTGAACTAAAGCTGAAAGCAGTATCACATTAATGTAGACATTTTGCACCAGACATCCACCTTAAGAAGTGTTTCCCTTTATACTACAGGATTAACTCCATTCTTTAAAAAGGCATATTTTAAGATCATTTCCTGTCTTTAAAAATGCCTTGATATTGTAACACAGGATGATGGAGGAAAGTTGTGGCCGTCTCACAAGAAGCAGTGGATTAATCTCTGTTCTCAAAATGGTGGAGGACAAGCAGGGCATGTGGGCATGCAGCTTGCCCAGCTGCTGAGCCCAGCCTTCCCTGCTGTGCAGTGATGCAGGCCTCCTGGTTGTGCTCTGGAGCCCAGCAGCCATCGCCGGGAGTCTTGTACCTGTTAATTTGATCCATCTTGCACTAAAACTTGTTGGGTTCCTACACTCGATCTGTTGTCCTCTGAGCAGAAATAATGGACTTCTTCAGGCTTAGAAAATCACAGGGTACAGTCTGCAAGAATTTTAGTAGAGACGCAAGGGCTGTTTTCAGGTGCAAACATGATTGCATGGGGCTGGAAGCATCTGTGTCTCCCTCTTGTCCTCTGCGTCTGTGCTGCCAAGGCCTGGGTGTTGGGGCAGAGCCTCTCATGTAGTCACGTGCTTGGTAGAACACTAATATTTTAAAAATGCCAAATACTCTTCTCCAGATAGCCCTTGTGGTGGACCCACAGCTGTGTGCAGTGTGTCAAGTGTCTCCAAAGGCAAGCTTCAAACTGTGCTGCAGAGGAAGCTGCCCAGATAGCTGACGGAAACTGCTTGGTTCAGGCAGCGTTTGGGCTCTTTCTCCCTGACGTGTTGTGTGTGTTCAGAGCTGAACATTAGGTGTCTCTGTTGACTAAAAATTGGGACCAGAGAATTAACCTGCCCACTCAAGAGCTTGTGTGCCATCATCTGCACATGGCAAGCGTGGGCAGGACTCTGAGAGCTGAGCTTCTGGTCCATGGAGGGGGCCTGGACCCTGCCATTTCCACCTGAGCCAGAACGAAGCACACACAGCCCCAGTGGTTTTCATGCTCTTTGGAGGGTTACTCTGCAGTGACTGGGATATTGCACTTCATGCACATAATAAAAATGATGATCCCAGAAACCAGATCTGCATCTGTAGCATCTCTTCCAGATCAAAGTCCAGGACTTGCTTTCCTTTTCTGTTTACTAGTGCAAAGGTATCCCAGTGTTGCAGGTGATAGAGTGTCCAGCCTTCACTGGGGGTAGCAGACTGCAGCTGATTGCACTTACACTATGGCTGGATGCCTGGCTATACCCAAGCCACACCAGCCTTGTTGGGAGGCCAGGTGACCAGGTGCTAGCACACCCAGAGGGCTGCCAGGACTCCAGTTGGTGTCTGCTGCACTCAGTAGACATGCCATGAAAGCTTTGATTTGGTTGTAAGTTAAGATGTGTTGAAGTGGGAACTGGACCGGACCTCCAGGAATCATGGACACTATGCAGAGATAAAATGGTACATCTACAGCCCACGTGTCGGGTCTCTTAACAGACCTGTATTCGTGTTACCACCTAAGTGCTGGTGATAATGCTTGTTTTTCTGGACAAAGCTCTTTCAAGCAAAAATAAGATCAGAAAACAAAGTAGACACACGACAATTAAACCTCTGAAAACATTCTCCCTTTTCATCTGTGAGGGAGTGGATCCAAAAGTCTTACTGTTCTGCATTTATTCACCACGGGCAGAACAGTCTTGCACAGAACTTGCCAGCTGGAGGTCATGGCACTTCTTCCTGCAAGAGGCCAACAGCCCCTGTCATCACTACAAAGCAGTCTTTCTAGAACAATGTCTGAGACCATTCCAGAGAGCTGTAATCAACTGTACAGTGGACTTGTAGCCTCAGAAACAATAATTTATTGGAAGTCACAGATAAGCTACCAGTGTTAACAGGTGAAGTACAGACATTAGCCAACACTAGCTTACATGGGGTGTAAGCAGTTTATATATAATGGATGCACAAGAACCTGGGACAACCAGGTCACAGCACTGGGTAAGTGACTTAGTAGCACCACTTTTCTGCAAACTGCACAGGGTGGTATTTACTGATTTAAAGCTAACTGGATGCCATTACATTCAATATAACATTAAAATAGTGAAATAGTCTCATGAGCTATAGTTCTGCTGGGCCAAGTTCTGCCTCCATTTGTATAAAATTTATTAATACAATCAAGAGCAGAATCTGTCCCTTAAGCTTTTTAAAATTAAAAACTTAGTTCAGAGCCTAGGGCCTAATCTTCATTTGATAGAAAATGTTTGTACTAGATATTCTCAGACTCAAGCCCAATATTGGCTAGTGATCCAAAGTAACTAGGCTGTAGAAAAATGATCAACACACATGCAGGAATTTAAACTAGTAGTGCTTGATAATCTTCAGAGGTCTCTTCAGAAATCCATTTTTAACTTCAGTACTTCCTGCCTTTTCGCTCCAAGAACTTTATACATTCCGAAGCAGTATCTTCAATGGATTTTGATAAGCCAGTAAGATTTGCAGCCAAGTAAGGCATGACACCTGATGTCACTTGATTAAAGTAACACACCTGTTTAAACAAAAGTAAATTAAACAAAAAGCCTATGGATTGCAATAGTTAGATTTTTTTTTTCAGAGCCTAGATGAGTATAAAAGGTTTTATGGAGGTGAACACATACAGCTTCTGAAGCAGAGGCAATAATTAGCAAAAAGAGCATGCCTTTTTTTTACAGTACTTTAGTGCTCTCAGTGTCCTCACAACTGGCACGTCCTCAAGCATCTGTAGGCAAATGTACACAGCACTGCAGTGAGAAACATTATGAGTAACCTGTCAAATATATGTGCTTTATGAACAAAGCTGGTGTCTGAAAAAAGAACCCAAGCCACTGAGAGTGGCTGAATGTTTTCAGAAATAGATTTTCTTACATGATAGATTTTCTTACATGAAACAGTTAAAGCCATTTCATGAAAAAGAACCAAAGAGGAACACTTGTCATTGGTCCAGAGGTGGGATTCATACTGCATAATTTCTGAATATGATAGTTGAAGGTAAGCATTTCATCTGAACTAATTCCTTGGACTTCCTCTGCAGCTAGCAGAGAGAGATGGACATCACCAGACGTCAGTTTAATTCACACTTCTAAAAGTGTAGTTTAGGATTGAATGAATGACTCTCTGGAGCTGCCTGGCCATCTCCAGTGCTTAGTTTAGATGTCATTCCTAACATTCAGATTGGCCAAAGTTGGAAAAGACAGGTTCCACTTTGTGGAATAAAGATTGTCTTAATAACCACATTGAACTCTGGGGAAACCTTTTTTTTTGTTTGTTTTATTTTATTGCTGTTACTGTTCTAAACTGTCAACTCAAATGAGATTACATGCCCATATACTACTACAGGAAAGGAGACCCAGCTGTGGTCTGCAGAGTTACTCACTGTACAGGAGCTGTTGCTGTCACTGTAGATCTGGAATCCGGCACAAAGGACTTGACTTCTGCAGTATTCTGAAGAAGGTGGCATGGATGTGAGGGTAACTGACTTTACAGCTACCACGTAAGGTTCACTGCAGGGCAAGGGGAAGACTCAGACATTTCTTCAACAAGATGTTAAAAAGATACATGTAAACTACACAGTATGCAGAGCTACACCAAAGCTGTCATTTTCATGTGAAGGGAAGCTCCTCTTTGTTTGAAGATATATGTTCAAAGGTTCAGCTCTGTAGAGTCTCATTCAGGCTATCACAGACTCCAATCAAGAAGACTTCTGTGGAAATCCCTAGAACAGTCACCCACATACACCACCTCTCTTTTTTGTTTACCCTTCACATTTACAGAACTAGTTCCTAAGGATCCTTTAAGTGTGGCCCCAACAAAGGCAGGCACGATTCAGATGTGGGGCGGGGGAAAGAAAAGCACTGTACTGAATACTGCCTTTCAGAAGCAATGTTCTAGTAACATGAAGAACTACTGAATATAAGAAGCTGAGAATCAAGAATGATAAACTACACCAAATGGTCCTATTAATCCATGTTTCATTATGCAAAAACAAAAGGAAATTAATGAAAAAAAAAATCAACTTACATTAAACTGATCAAGGGACTTTTAAAACCAGACTCAGCAGCAAAATTTATAGATACAATGTATGTGTTACACTGAGGTTTCTAGGAAGACCAAGAACTTCCTTGAAAATCTCCAGAATTACACCCAACAACAGACCAGATAAGGTCAATAGTTAACTAAAACTGTGGCTCCAAAGTGCTTACAGTTACACTTGAAATTGCATACTCACCTTGGCTTACAGGGTTGCCTTTGAGACACAAGAATCACAAAGTCTCTGGGTTTATGGCCAGTCATCGGTGGAGATGTAATGTAATATATTTTCTCGTCTTTGTTCACAGCCTGCAGGACCTCACAAGTTCTGCAAATACATTTAGCACACACATGCAGACCCTGATGTATGCAACACCATCTCTTCGGAAAAACACAGCACAAAGATATATTCTATCCTAACGTTCAACCAGTGATTTTCATGATCAGGCTGCAAGGAAGAACGAGGAACACAGAGGGAAAAATTCAGTTTTTTCTATACCATCTCACCTGACACCACCTCTCTGTCCTACAGAATTGTGAGAAAGTGCTGCAAGGTGCTAGGGAAACATCTTAGAAGTGTATCTTTTGTGTATCTTTGATTCCTGTTTGGAATGACATTAGCTTGCATGCCATGACACTTGCTGAATGACTAAACACTGTCCATCTGACACACCACAGGACAGACTGTCAAGAGACATTTGTAAAATTTTATTCAAATTTGTGTTCCGCTCCCTTCAGATGGGGCCACCTGGCTAAAATACAGTGTCCTGAAAGTACTGATCACTAACTCTGAGTTTTCACTACCAAAAGAAAGGTCAGATTTTTCTTTTACACAGGCAGTAATTGATATATTCCATTTCAGCTTCTTCTGCCTCAAAATAAGCACTGCTAAACTGGTAGTCCAATTTGACCAATCAGGCTTCATCATAAGAAATCTCAGAATTTGGCTGTAGATAATGGAAAATCAGCAAATTACGTCCTCGTATTTCATGTTACAAGCCTTAAATTCAGCAGAGATAGTAAATTTTTTAATATCCCTATGTTTCCACTTTCACCCTTTGATAAACAACTTTCAGGACAGAATGACTAACTAAAAAACCTTTCCCTTTAAGAGAACATTCACTACATCAGATTACTATTTTATTAGTTCAATTGTCTCTATTAATTTTTCTGCTGCATATAAGGTAAATAAAAAATCTCTAACACCTTTTAGAGCAATTCTGAGGCCCATTCTGATTCAGATACACTTTATAAGATGTTACTTTTCTTAAAACATTAATTTTTAAGATCCTTGTTTCTTGATTTCTCACTTTGACTGTATGATGAAGATGAGCACCAGTGTCCCCAAAAACACAAACATGCAGGAGTCCACAGCTTTTCCTTACTTCCTATGGACCACATGCACAATATATCAACCTCAAGTTATATCTAACCTACTCAAATTAACCCTTTCAACTTACATTTGTCTAGACACAGAATTTTGATAAATTTTAGAAAATGGTAACCTCTGTCCCAGCTCTCTGCCAGTTCAGAGCAACCATATATTTAAATCAGACTTAGGAGGAATTAAATTTTATTTTTTAAGTATAAAAAACAACCCATACTTAGACTAATTAATCTTTAATGTCAACTTCATTTTTCCTTAATTAGGTAGAAAAGTGTCAACATCTCAAAAACATTTGTATCAGAAAACAGTTGTCAGTTGAACAGTCTTAAGGAAAAGTATGTTCTTACAAGAAATGTTTGTCCCACTCTTGGCGGAATGTGAAGTCAGACAACAGGGAGAAAGCCAGATGTGATGGTATCTTCACTTGCATTTCAATTTTGAGTGACAACGTATCACCCTCCTCATGAATCCATATTTTTATCTGAAAGAAGTGATATTAAAAATAAAGCATGATTGCTATTTTAACACTTTAAAATGTTACGTATGTAGGACTTGAGTAGATCTTCTCTGTCTACCTGACAGAGGAAAGGTAGATGAGTATTCAAGATTAGTTCTACATTAAAATACAGCACAATGTAAAATCAAACACGCTGATACCATAGTGGCATTGCAAAGTTTTAATTACTTCTGGTTAGGGACAGGTGAATTAGCTTGCAAGGGGAAATGAATGAGCTAGAGGCCCATATGACCTCTTTCTCACCCTACATATATACATACATACATACATATACATACAGTCTCTAAAATACCTTTCACACTGCAGGTGCCTTGGAAAAACTGAGTTATTGGGCCATGCAGATGTCACCAATTCCTTAAAGAACAGCAGATACACTTAAGAAAAAAGGTAAAAACCTCTCCTCAACCTTGCTGGAGAAAGTCTCCTCAAAGAAGCTTCAGTTCACTGATTCCAAAAGCTAGGAGGACAACCTGAAGACCTCATGGAATTCAATTATTTTTGTGAACTTCACATCAGTGACCAGTGACAAGACATTAAACTTTTAAAATCTGGTCAGATGCTGGTCCAGAATTCCACTGTTTTTTCACATGGCCCTTGAGCCAGGCTGAGTTACAGAAATTAAGCATAGTTATGGGAAAGCAACAGGACGTAACACAATTTTTAGCAAGGAAGAAATGTTAGTAAGGTAGATTATGTGAAGTGCTAGTGATGGTTACTGAAAGCCTTTCAGGAATTCAAAAGTTAAGAGTAGGATCCATTGGATGTGGCACTAATGAGCAGAAGCAAGCTGGAGTGAGGCCACACTAGACGGAAGTAGCATCCCTGCAGCATGTGTGAGGCAAGACAGACTTTAGTAAAATAAGACAAACCAACCACCTCTGCCACTAGGATTTTGGAACATATCCACTTTTTTTTTTTTTTTTTTTTTTTTTTTTTTTTTTTTTTTTACAAAAGCACTTTCTGATCTTTAAGAGGGTTGATTTTGGATGACATATGGATTGTTTCCTTGATTCACCTCTCCAACCCACTGGATGACTGCCTTCAGGCAGAGCTCTGATAAGCACTACCTCCTGATTCCTACTAGTTGTTCTTTTAGCCTCTACCCAAGAAGCCATTTCATAGACACTGAGAAGAGATCTGCTTGAGTGGAGATGCTGCTGTATGTGTCTGTCAGAGGAGATTAAGTAGTTGCTCTGTGTCTACACCACTGTGCCCCCTAAGCACAAAAATCAAGATCTGGTAAATGACTGCAGAGAACATAAGACCAGTATGATATGTATGTAGTGGCCTGCACTGCTTAAGTGATCATGTAAGCATGATCAGGTAATGTTTTGAACTAGATACAATTTCTTAAGGGATCCTCATGTTTGCAAAAATAACAAAAGGGAGTGTGAAACAGTGACTGGTGAACCAAAACACTTGCCAAGATGGTAAGTTTCTTTAGCTGAAGCTGGCAGAAAGCCTTCCTTGGAGCTGCATCTATACCACCATATAGGGATTCAAGCACACATCCAAATCTGACTGGAGGAGCTGTCTAGGTGAAGTTCAAGATAGATTTCATGCTCACTTTCTCTGCCAAAGAGCAAATTTAATCCACGTAGTGGGTGAATTTAGAGGTAAGCTTACAGTCACATATGGGGACAAATGTATCCTCTGTCTACTAATGACATCCATGCTTTGTCAGGAGTCTACCTTGTGCCTGCAAGTAAACAAATAAACTAAACAAGACAGAAGACTTACTTATGGAGTAAATGGTATACAGCAATCCAAACGGACTACAATCATATACATGGTTTGTTGTTCATTGCATACATCCTTAAACAAAACAAAACAAAACAAAACAAAACAAAACAAAACAAAACAAAACAAAACAAAACAAAGCAGGATCCCTGACCCTTCTTTAAGGTCTGATTGACCATGCCAGATTTGCCAGAACAATGAGAATGAATGGACTTTTCATCCATTGACAGCATCAGTGTGCTTTGCATCCTACATCCTGCCTGAGCCAGATTTTGCTTCAATTAGATGAAAGAACAGCTAGAAAAAGCTACTCAAGATTTTCAACCAGATAGGCCTAAGTGGTTTAGAAGCAGATCTTACTATCAAGATTCTCCAAAAAGGGAAGACGGTTCCAGACTCCAGTAATATTGAAATGTACTGATGGCTTTGTGAGAGAGAGAAGTGACATCAAGCTGTTTTAAAATGTCATGCAGGATGGGAATGGGTTTTGGTTTTTTGTACGAAGTAGTGTCTTCACAACATTTGGTGCTGGTTCTATTACAGTTTTCAAGCTAGGGTTAAGAAAGAAAGTGAGATTCTTGCAGTTCCAGTGCATGCAGAAAGGAAGTTTCCCATGGATATTAACAGTCTTAGCAGAGGCTTGAAAATAATGCTCAGTCTTTCAGTCTGATTATTCAAGCTTGTTTTTTCCAGCGTGACTGCTGTTTGCCATTTACTTGGCATAACACTGTTACTGCAAGTTCTTAACCTCTGGAACAACCAACACATGGAACTGGCAGCTTTGCTGTCACTGCTTGCTCTTACTCAAGTAGCTTGTTGACTTGATGAAGAAGCAATCAGTGAAGTTTCATAGTCTGTGACATAAAGGGGGTCAGACTACAATGCTGTAATTTTAGGATTAGTAAGATTTGAATCTACATGATCTTAAAGTAATCTTCCAATCAGTACCCATATTTCAGAAACCAATCTTGACAGATGTCTCTTGATAGTTAGGAAAACAAGCACTAAGACTGGGTTAAAACTGAATTTTCCCAGCTAAATTATCTCTCTGCTGTTTCTTTTAACAACACCTTCCTATCTCAACACTGGCTTACATAAGATTTCTTACTGATTTTGAGCTTATAATACTGATTAATGAACAGAGAGGTTCTTTGTTTTCAGACTTCTGTAGTTTTCTTAATAGAAAAAGGGCAGAAAGAAAGATACCAGAAAAGGAAAATCGTGCATAGAAAAAGAGTCAAGTGGTATTCTTAGAAGATAGACACTGAAAAATTTGGTACATTAATTGCTGCCACCTGCCGACTGGCAGTGAGTGTCCGCTTGGAACTCTCACAAGATCATGCCTACTTAGAAACATCTCCCATGCTGCACAGCTGGTAAAGGCAGTATACTACAGACTGCTGCACACAATTTGCTTAGCACATGGACAAGAGAAGCCCTACAGATCATCAGCAGTACTGCCTAAACAAAGATGTCTAAGTTTGGGGTTTCACTGGAATAAATAAATTCGGCAAAACCACAATGTGGCCAAGAAAGTGTCTCACAGAAATGATACAGGGGTTCATTTGTGGTTTTGCACTCTCCTGGCTGTTGCTCAACAAGCCCAACTGATGAGCTGCTGGCAAGCCTGCCCTTCTGGGATCCCAAGTCCTATGTTCACCAGCCATTCAGATGGTCTTACAATTCCTCCATGTCACTTCTAGGTTGCACAGCACTCTGGACAACCCGAGGTTGCTTTGCAACGTTTCACGGAGACTCTGGGAGGTTTGGCTTCCAGCCCTAGCCACACTCAAACCAAGAACTGCCAAGCCAAGATGTTTATTTACAAGGGCAAACCTTTGCCCACCTCTTATGGCAAAACGTGTACCTATTCCACAATAATGCACTTACACCATCCAGTGTGCTGGTTACTTCCCATCCTGGTTTTGCTGCCAGGTGTGTCAGGGCAGATATGTTGCTGTAACTCACGTATGCCTGAAATGCCAAGACATATTTCTGAAAACCAAGTGGTAAAGGTGCATTTCACTAAGCATTCCAGAAATTGGATGTTCTTTTTCAATCACTATGCCTCCATGACAAACAAAGGTGTGTTTTCCCATAAGAGTTTTCCTTCCAGAAAACACAGACCAGTAGTTTCTGAATTAAATACTTTCAATAGCTGGATTATGTGCTCACATGGCTGCTGGCAAAACAACCCTAATTAAACAACAGCAAAACACTACTTTGGGCTTCTCCAATTATACAGGAGCACAGAAAAACTGTGACCACCAGAGAGATAATACAGGTAACCTCTCAGACCACTAAATTAATGGTTTTGCCCATCTGCCCTCTCAGTAATTAAGACCTGGTAGAAAATTAACCTCTTCATTGCTATCAAGCCATAGCCTATCTTGGCAATTGCTTTACACAGCAGGCTCAGAGCAGAGGAAGTGCAAATATATCCATTATTTATGCTTGACTACAGTGGATGGAGTTCTCATTTAACTACTGTGTAAAGAGAATACAGCTTTAGAGTCTCTAACAACAGGTTTTAATTTAATATTAAATAACTCTTAAGTAAGACATTTTTATCATTGTATGCATATTTATATGTTTTGTTTCACGGTGGAAATGCCACTATTAACAGCAAATCACTTCCTGCATTATAATTCTCAGTTTGTTGGTTTTTTTTCATGTAAAGGAAAAAGATCCAGTAAAACTTCTGGGAGCCATTGAGATCTTTACTGCAATGAAAATTTAAGCACAAAAAATTGTTTCCGAAACATTTAGGGTGTCTATAAATCCACGTAAATTCAGGTTAATCTGTATTCACATCAGGACACAGGTACATTCTATGGCCTCCCACGTCCAAGCCAGAAACACCTACCTCTTGATGCAGAGTATCTAGGAATGAATGTATTTTCTCCCCTCCTTCCCATAGAAACAAATTTTATGCTATTTCACTGTTCATGTCTTTCACAACACACTTCCAGTATTTACTAAATGCAATTTAGCAATTTTTGAGAAAGTCGAAGGAAAAAAACCCAAACAAACAAGACAAATTAGTTTCTTTAGAGGAGAACTCTGCTTTTTAAAAGCTGGGGACACTGGGATATACATCTGCAGGAGACCTTACAGCTTGGCTGCTTACAGGACCACTTGTTAAAAGAGTCTACCTTAAAGACATTACGTTTTGCATGAAACTTACTCTTCAATCAATAGTAAAGCATCTACTCTCGTTTATCCATTCTTCCATGACTATCATAAGGCTTAAGTACAAAAGGTTCCCTGTGGAAACTGATACAGCCTGTACAACTGTTCTTCACACCCCCAAAGTGCACAAATTCACCATTTTATGCAAGTAGATGAGAGGACACTATCTACAGATTACCTGGTTGCTTGTCTCCCAAAGGTCAGAAGGTTTGTCTTCTTCAGCAGACAGCATGCATTTCCTAAAACAATGTCCAAAAGTAAAATAACACCATGAATTGGTTCTTTACACTTTCTTCTATATATGCTAGAAACAATTACTTCTATAGGTTTAAATGTCTCCTAAATAGTTTACAGGTACTTTGGCAATTTTTAGTTGCATAACAGGTTTGCAGTAACTCCTTTTTCTTCCCAAGAAAGATGGGGAAACAAACAAACAAAAAAATATAGAGCAAAGTATTTTTGAGACAAGAAGTCTCTTAACAATTTCAGTGCAACTCAGGCAAAATTATTTGGAAAGTTAAGCAACATTACAGTTACGTTTGAGGACACACTGGCTACTTAACAAATGATGACCTTTTTTAGAGCATTGATTCAAAACCTGAGTTTTCAAAATCAAGTTCTCCTTGTAACCCAGCTATACCTGGCTAGTCGAATTCTCATCCGGGCAATGGCTCCATGGTATCGCCTCACGCCATCCTTTATAAAACAGCAAACCAGACAGTAACACATCTGATCGTTTTAGGACACAGATGAAAAAAAATACAGCTAAAAATTATTTCTTACAGATGGACAAATGCCAGAGGTGTACAACAAATAAAAGATTGTACACTGCACACTGTACATTTGCCTTTCAGATTTACCTGAGTGAGTAATTTACTTTTGACTGTACAATATTCCCTTAAATTTGCAAAATTGTATCCGAGTAGCATGCTCCTAGTACTTTTTGGTCCTAAACTAGTGCCAATGCACCATGCACATTCTATTCTTTCTAATGTGCCATCCATCAAATAAACTATGAATCCAATTCATCATCATCTGATGTTCAAAGTATGAAGGAAGCATGGAAGAATTCCTATTCTAGTACCCATGGATCTGAGCAAGCACTGTGTAAACAGATATAATCTACTCTTCAAGATGGCAAGTCTTTTCCTTCTCTTTTTATTACTTTGCCAGGATGGATTTTTTTTGAAGCATGGAAGTGACCTAGAAGCATACACCACACCAAACTGCATTAAAGGTCAATAGGACTTGGTATCTTGAAAGATACACCACTTTGGAAAAACTTCTTTTCCTCAGCTTTTAAAAGCCACAATGTAGCTTCTGGAATAAGAAGAATCTCCAGATTAGTGAGTCCCAGACTTTTTTAAACTGACGTCTACATAATATTTTTTTTAAGACATCTCTCTCTTGCCTGCTTTGTAGAGCACTGCCATACCAGCTCTCACCTTCAGTCAAATGACCGTGGAAAGTTTCAGCTACCTCAAGCACATACTAATTTCCCCAGATTTGTTTGCTTTACTCTGAAGGCATGCATGTACTTGTTCTTATATTGATGTTTAGCTTGTGGATGCCCCTCTAGGGAGGTCTTCAAGGGAAACACTTTTTCTGACAGAAGCTAAGCTCATGTGCCTTTTGTTTTTTGTTTTGTGTTTGTTCAGTTTTGTACATTGTAGAAGTCTGATTTTTCCTCTTGGAACAGCCTGTAAGGGGCAGTAATGAACCTTAGTGCCTCAGCAAGTATATAGGAGAACTTGAATTATTAGTCCAGTTGCCTTCCCATAAAATGTAAATTCATGCTAAATAACTGTTGGATTTTTGTCTGTACCTGCTCTCCAAAAATATTGCAATTGGAGGAGTGACACTGATGACAGGTATCATCACAGCAAACAATTTAACAGCAGTATTCAAACTGCTCCAAGTGTTTTGTGAACTGCTTTCAGGGAAACACATGCTGAGATCTCCATGTCAGAGGAACTGGAAAGCCTACCTATGTAATTGGATTTGATTAATACAGACTTATTTATTAACTCCATTTCTCATCTTCATTAAGGACATTATCCACTGGACACTTAGTAGTTTAATCTACAGTACATGGAGATTGCTCAAGGCAGACATAGACAGGTGCAAAAATCTGCCAAAACCAGATTATTTTTCCCTGTCCATCAACTAACTACAGAATTTCTAATGATGACTGCCTTCCACTACACCTCTCAGTTTTGGATGACTGAAGGTAACAATGACAAATCTCTTAATCAAAGGCAAACATGTCATTTAGAGGCTTTTCTCCTCTGCAGGAAGACACATTTCAGTGCCCTGTTTAGTCCTCACTTTCCCTGCAAAGCTATAGAGGCTGGCTGTGTGCAGTGTGCTGGGTTAGACCACATAATCTCATGCATGCATTCATCCTAGTCCTGAGGATGAGAACTGACCTCTGTAGTAGGTTTGATTCTGGGGAAGGTGAGCAGCTCTCCTTTGTCATTTACAGTGTTAAAAATGAGAAAGGCACTGTTAATATGCCGTGCTTGGTCCTTGATCCATTCTTCACAGTTATAAGCCTCAACACGGACACCAACCTCCACACTGAAATAAAAGTCTAAATTAATTAGTGAACTACTGCAAGAGATACAGAAGCAGCCCTGAGACAAAGTAAAAAGAACTGCTGTACACATTCCTGTGTGCAGGAGGCCTGACTCAAATACATTCTGTAGCATACAAAATAAATTACTCTGTCTGGACAGACACATTTCAGAAGTAAAAGCTGGCACTAGCTAAATAACATTAATAAAAAGAGTGAAAATTGAGCTAAGCAGAAAAATATAAGCAACAGTAAGCATGCTGTGAGAACAGACAGCAAAAGAGAATGGGATGGTGTTGACTGGACATTCAGCAGAAGCATCATATGAAGGTAATTCATGCCCTGCCAGCATTCTGTGGGGGCCAAACAGACCTACAAAGAAAAATGCCATAGAACAGCAAGCAATGCCAGGGCAACATTTGTCCCATGTACAGAATTTGGACGAGGAATTACTTTAGCTTCTGCTTTCTTGTGGCCCGTCCTCCTACACCTCTTGCAACTTCTGAACACGTCCTCCTACTGGAAAAGGCCTCCATGTAAATTGTGCAACACCTCTGGCATAAACAGAAGGTCTCTTGGCCCAAAGCACCTTTGCTGTAGATGGGTAAATAGCCTAGCAGAGAGGTGCTGCCCCTTTGCCAAAGGTCAGGGGAGAGTCATTCTCTGTGAGGAAAACAAAACAGTAGTTCAACACCTGCAGAGGAGATAGTGCATGCACAGGGAAAAGGAAGAGGGAGTAACCATTAGCAGGCAGAATCTGTGATCTGTGCAAGACTAGTCAACAGGCACGCCATTAAATGCCAAGACCTGGTGTTCAGTGTGCCAGCATCTTTGCTTCACACTTGTAGTGACCATATACTCAACTAAAGACACAGCATGGACTGTAGCTTTTTATTCGAAACTGCAGCTGGTAAAGCCTCACCTCTGGGTACACCTAGACCAACACTGGGAAGAAATTAATAAAACAAAGCATGAATTTTGCCAGCAACCAGCAATAATCAGAAATCAGATATGCCAAAAGACACTCCTGACAGCAAGCTGAAGTCTGCTGAAAAGTCAGAACTGTGGGACCAATTCATCCCTTGAAAATCCCTGAATTTCAGGTTGATATTTAAGGTGTGACTTTGCAGGACTGGGATTTAGTTCCAATTGATCTTTACAGATATAGAGATAGATTAGATTCAGATATAGATATAGATATATAGATACAGATAGACATAGACACAGATACAGACACATAGGCACATAGACATATCCCTCAAAGCTCCAGTTGAAAAATAATTCATTCATTAGCACAAATCCTACTGATAGCTGAAATATGAGGCACACAATAAGGGTGGTGCTGGACAAGTCAAGGAATACAAGCAGATGAGGAGTTTTACCTGTTCTGAAATGTGTTGTTCACAATTGCATTGAAAACAAGGCGGTCACCCACGACAGATGGTCCCCAGAATTTAAACATATTGACTGATTTCAAGATGGGATACGAACAACAAAGACGGCTGAAAAATAAAGCAAGAGACAGGGAGCAAAACATACAGTGATGTTACAGAATCTCTTTTGTTAGGTTTGAAGTGGGTAGCGATTAGGGCAACAAGGTTTGCACAACCTACAAGATCCACTGTATTACACTAATTTATTCCATAACTCACTGAAATACAGTTAACGTGTTCAGCTCCAAGAGCATATAATTTGAGCTTCAAACATAGTAATACCACTTATGTCATGCTGTTTCATTTTCAACACACTTTACAAACACCGACTAATTAATTCTCACTGCTTGATATTGCTTTCTTTTGGAGCCAGACCATGAATCCTTTACCTACACAGTAACCACTTACTTCACAGAGTTTCATTATTCTCTATATGACTGCATGGGGAGCAGGATATTGCTCAGTATGTAAAAATGCCAGAACACAAAGTCTTTGAACAACTAGAAGAAACCTGAGCAGAAAGGTTGCGAAACAGTGTTCAAGAAAAGGAATGTTACTCTATCTATTCCTTTTATGATTTGTACTTTTTTGCTTATTTGTCAGATGTTTTCTGCTAGTGTTACATGAAACAAGAATAAAAACCTACTTCTATAACTGCCAAATGCATAGTTGTTTGGCTTTTTTTTCTACTTGGATTTGTTTTACTACATTATGTGCACTACCGGTGCCGAGCTGGGAAACCCACCATTCCATACAAAGGGATAGAAATATATTGAACTGCTCAGTTACCAATTCAGAAACAGAACTAAATTTCAAAAGCTGAGGGCACAACAGTGTATTACAGACAAATGAATCTTAGTAATTCCAATCCTTTTGTCTTTTCAGTTACATAGTGCATCTGCTCACCTGTCTTCTACTTCAGATCTGATCCTGTACTGTGTTCACTTACAGGTTGTCAGGTTCTGCCAGGTTGTCCTACTGCATCTCTTTGAATTGCTTGTGAGACAGGCTGTAGCCACTCTGGTAAAACTTTGCTGGTCTAGTATGGAAGATTGGCTGTGCCAGGTGAGCTCCCTTTCCATGAGCTCCTCTTTGGGCTGGTACAATGGATAGATACACACCAGATCAAACCCAGCTACATTGTGAAAGGAAAAGTTTTGCAATGCTGTGTCATCTACACTAGGAATCATCCAACAACTCATCACTTCTCCGACCTCCACAGATGTTCCAGAAAAAAATCTGCAGCACAGATACAGCTTAAAGGGTCTGCAGAATTGGGAATAGTTTGCAAGCTCTCCAAAGTGAGCAAAAATTAGGTTTCTTCAGCAGTTCTAAATCTAGTCCCACTCTTTACTCAGACCTCTGTGCATCACATGAATAGGGAACAATATACAATAATGCCATTTATCTTTAGACTTTGAAAAACACACTCCATCCTCACTGCACGTGTGCGAAACTCATCAGTAAGAATCCCATATGCATATGCAAGGATAGATTTTGCAGTTTTTAAACTTGAAAGTGCATCTTTGTGGTGTTCCTAGCTTTTAACTCAACTGCACTCTGCAAACTAATGTACCAGTACATGTTAAATGCACACAATTATCTGTAGCTAATTAACTGACTGGTACATCTTTTTAATAGACTAATACATTCAAATGACTTTGTAATTTCGTTAAGTATAATTTGGTCTTCTGATTTAAAATGCTGAAAGGTGATCTTACTTACAATGTTCACTATAAAGATGCAAACACAATATTGTTGAAAATAAGTGAGGAACAAAACAGAAATTTGCCCTAAATATTCAGGTTTTTTCCTGCAAAACTATACCCTAAATGCTTTTACTGCAAGTGTAAGAAGTATGGAAGTACAGATCCAGTTAAAACTAATGCTCAAATAGGTTTTTGCTATCTGCAAGGTTTTAATTTACTGTTTATCCAAAAAGGTGGGGGAAGAGGGAAAGGGGAGAGGCAGGGTGAGTAATCTTAGAAATTTATTTGTCAAGGGTTAGCCTTTCTCTTATGTTCCTCCACCAGAGTTTTGGCTATAGCAACTACTAATTGGGACCCTGAAAGTGGAGGTCTAATTGTGAGTGGCCTCACAAAAGGTTTGTAGTGAGACTAACTATTTCTTAATCATAAACTACACTATCTGTTTTCAAAAAGCCTGTATCACCAGATATTATGCCTAATACCTTAACATGAGAGATCCTGTTTAACATTCATTAGTTCAGAGAAATTTTTTTCAGTACTTGGTTTGCTGATGTTTTCCTTCTCTTTTTAAGCCTAAATGTGACTCTCACTAGGTAAAGTTTATCAAATGAAAGCAGGTAAATATTATGGGTCATATTGCAGCAAAAATCTGAAACAATCCCTTTAAAGCAAATGAAATTACACATTGGGTTAAGGTCAGTGCATTCTAATGTTACTAAAACAAGCTGTTTACCCAACCACTGCACAAAATCTGTTGTTATCAGTACAACTACTGGCTACAAATCAGACTATATGAATAATTAATGGGAAGTCACTTAATTATTAAAGTTAAAAAGAAAAACCTATCTAACATGCCTGCAGTGAATTAGGTCACTTGGTATGCAAGCAGAATTCAAACTGAAACTCAATCGTTGGTTACAAAGAAGCTTTGTGCAGGGTCCAAGAACAAGGAGAGGGAAAGACAATGGTTTGATTTCAGCGGAAGAGAAATTAAATTATTATGTTTCAAGGCCATATGACAAGAAATATTGGGCAGTGTCACAAAAACACTCTGCACTGCTTACCCAAAGATGTCAGAGCCCTTTAAACTGCTAAAAATACTACAGCCTACAGGATGTAGGGAGTCAGACTGGAAGGTTAAGCAACTTGCTTAGGGTTATGAATCCATTCTGTGTGTGCACCAACAAAACGGACCTGTTCCTTTTGATTCTCTTCTCTGACTTATTCTTTCTTCTGGCATAAGGAGCTGCAGACTAATATCTAGAAGACTGTTTAGTTTTGGTTACCAATTGATACAAGGTCAGTATTGGTTTTAACCTGACTTAATAACTAACTTTGCTTCTAAAACACTGCACCAACCACAAGGAGGCCAGGTTTCTATTCCTATGTCCAGTGATGACTTTCTGCTGAGATTCTCAGGAGGGTAACATAAACATAGCCTCTTTTGCCTTAGGTCTGCATGTGTAACAGAATAAGAATAATATTTGACTCCCACAGTGGTGTGTCATGCTGTGGGAACTGTACCACAAAAATAGTTCTAAGTCCTCCTGCAATCAAAGGAGGAAGAAAAGCCACAAAGGTTTGGGTCTGTCTTTTTCATAAAAATCCCAGTGGACCTCTAAATATTAAAATCACATCAATTTAGAACCATATGTAGAAAAGCACCTTGCTGAAATACTTGCTACTGTCTCCATCCAAGCCATGATCTGGCCACCAAAAGTGTTTCCATGATGGTTTGCATGAGGAGGCTGGACAAGCTCAATACTCTGCACATGAGTAAGGTCAGTTGAAACTGCATCTTCCATTTCAGAAGTATCTGAAACATGGCAGCAATGTATTAATGAATTATTTCAGCTAGTAGCTCTGGTAGCCAAGAAGAAAATACCCCCAGTTACTGAAGCATGCAATTTGCTTCAGACACAATTAAAAGAATTAAAAAAGAAGGACAGAGGAGACCTCTGTTCTCTGCAAGGGAAGCAAGAGACTGAAAATTTCCTCTGTTCTTCCAAGAGACATAAGAGGTGGGGGATGGTGCACCCTGCAGCATATCACAGCACAGTGATCCTTCTCAGCCCTCACTATATCCTTCAAAAATGCTGTGTCAGAAGCAGTTACTGAGAAAGTTGGCTAGCTGTGAATGCAGGCAGCCAACAGCCTCAGAATGTGCTTGTGATTATTCATGGTTACTATGCATGACCTCTAACAGAGGTTGTCAGTGCAGTTTATCACTTGTTCAAATGCCTTTCATAGACTTTGACCACCATGTATGATGGGCACCTGTGCAAATGTGTCTAATCAGGATTAGAATATGACATGATTATTTCATAACCCGTTACAAATCTTGTAATTACCAGAGACAACACAGAATACATGAAAGAGAGAAATATAGATCTGAACCAGTAACCATTACCTGAGCATTTCCAATTCCACTTTCAAATGTTTAGGTGCACATAGTCATTCTAATCTGTTTTTCAGTTACATTTTAAAAGAGCAAATTCAGGCATGAGATGATGTCAGTAATTTTTAAAGTGCATATCTGTGCTAGAAGATACTTGACATGAATTTTGACTTCTGCCATAGTTAACTATCTTTATGATTATATAAATGTGTGGACACATTTGACCAACTTGCACTTTGGACCTACTTAAGTTGTTGCATAAGACCCACTCACAAGACAAACTTCACTTTCTGGGTATGCTTTATGCATATTTTGCTACCTGACAGCCTTTACAAGCAACATTTTCTTCTCTCTTTCCCCTGCTTTGCTTGTTCTTTCTTCTTAAGGAGGTAAACTACTGCTAACAATGATTAGATCCTTCAACAGTTTCCAGGCAAGGCAGTGGAAATGAAAATCATCAGCCTCGATTTGTCTTTCATAGTATTAAGCTGTCTCCTATGAGACAGTAACCACGAAGACAAATAACTTGTTTGCTTGTAGCAAACAAGTCTGCTCAGTTCTACACAGTTTTATTAAATTGTTAAGATGAGATTTTGTATTTACAACAGGTTTCATCTTTCCTCAGTAAAACCACACAAAGTCTGTTGTTTATACACAGAGTCATGGCTCAGATTTCCCAAATACCAGCATATTTTTTAACTGTTGTGAATAATTTGTTTTGCAAAAGAACATAGAAACTTTTGAACACAACTGCCAGAGATTTAAAAAAACCTGAGATTACAATCAGAAATAAAGACAAACCTGTTTCTTGGCTCAGTTTTTCTAATTGAGTTTAATTTTTTTTTTTAATCTGTTTTGACCTCTGTATAATGAAGTTTCTCCAGCTTGTTGGGAATAACCTCATGGCATAAGCATAGCTCTTAGTGCTTTCTTGCAAAGACACAACCATAAACTGAATGAATTTCATCCTTCTATACTTTACAGCTAGAGTCACAGGATGCACTCATGTAGCCTACACAATGGCCTGCACTTCATATCCATTTAACACGATTGGCATTTTTAAATCTGGAATTTCTGAAAGACAACAAAATAGCACTCTTTTAGAATCACTGTCTTACACACCCTCACAAATCTTGGCACACGCTTTTCTACATGATACCACAACCTCAAGGAACTCTACTCAGGTGTTTTATCTGCTTTCTTCCTCCCTTCCAGCTGCCTGTAAGGCATTTGTTCCATCTTCCATGCTGACCACAGTAATCACCTTCCTTATTACTCTCCTGCATTAGCTTCTGAAAGACCTGCTCATAGCCCAGTCGGATTCTTCTTCTCTCAGTAGCCAGGGTGTGCTCCAGGTGGTCTTCTGTAGACAGAAGCTTTACAGGTTCTAATTCAATCTATGCAAATGGGAACAAAAAAAGGTTCTGAATGCCATAATAATAACAAATTGCACTCTGACTTAAAAAGGCATCACCATTTTCTACATTTTGCTATCAGCTGTCCAAGATGACAAGTTCTATTAATACAAACAAGCTCAGAGTTAAAGTTCAAGAGATTCTGCATTATCCTTTCAGAATAATTTCTCAAACTCGGTGATAAAGTGCTTTTAGCTTTTAAATATAATGTCCATGAGAGCACATTCAGTTTAATAGTTCTCTTTAAAAAAAAAAAAAAATCTTAGTATGAAGGTTTACTATAGAATTTTTGTATCAGAAAAATAATCCAGTTACATTCTTCAGTGGTGCAGTCTACGGGAAAGTGCACCCAGACCCCACTCCCATTCACTACACAAACAGCCTGCTCCTTCTTTCAAACTTCAGTCCATACTCACATAGTTTATTCCACCTGTCTGAGGACCTTTTCCAAAGAAGCACTGGTTTTCTGAGGCAGAGGAGAAACACATGAACATCTAGCACTTGGGGCAGTCTCAGACTCTACACACTTGTGCCCAGACACACACCTTTCTCTTGCCAAGATCAGATCTTTTTCACAAAGAATCACAGACTGTTAGGGGTTGGAAGGGGCTTCCCAAGATCATCGAGTCCTACCCTCCTGCCAGAGCAGGACCAAAACTAGAGCAGATCACTCAGAAAGGCATCCAGACCAAACCAATAAAAAATAATTCTCACTTTATACTATTATAGTGTTTTCACATTTATCAATTTAGCTGTTAAAGCTTTCAGAGACCAGCTGGGGTTTAGTTTTGGTATAACTGTCCTGATCTGTTTCTTCTGCAAACTGCAATATATCATTGCAGAAGAGAAAGCAGAAATGATTGGATACATTAATTGCTTGTGGGATGACTGCTCCCTGCCAATATGCAGTGGATGTCAAAAATGCAGATGGACTGTCATGACACATTCAATGAGACAGAAAAGTTATATATATGATTCTAGTCACTCGTGTTCAAGAAAGTAGAATGATGCATACACAGGGAGTTTATTAAGAGGATCTGAGAAATATTTGGCCTTTCTCATACAAAAACTTTAAAAGATTTGTGCCTGCCTGGTACAGCAATGTGAAAGCCAAACAGAACCGTGCCTGGTTTCTAAATACCTCCAGGCAGCCAAACACTGGGGAGAAGAAACAACATTGGCATGAAAAGTAATTAACATAAATGGCAAAGAATTAATTTAAATTGGAAGCTGGCTTAAAAATAATGTCTTCTATCTGAATTTTCATGTCTGAACAACCTCCTCAAAAGGGTGGTGAGGATAAATAGGTCCCATCCCCAATACCCTTACAGATTTCAAGAGGTATATAGATCAGTTTCTGAAAACTGTAGAGACCATGCAGATTCTCAGGGATCTCTCCTCCAGTGCTCGCCTCTGTCAGTATTGCAGCCCTTACAAAGACACCATTCTGTTATTAGCAAATGTGCAAGAGCAAGTGGAAACAAAAGAGAGATGTGGAAACAAAGATATGGTGAAAAAATATCTCCATGTAGTCTGGACTTCATGGTGTTTTCCAGATACTTATCAAAATACATAGGTATGGACAGTTTTCTGTGTTTCACAACCAGAAAAGCTGGGTTGCTTCCCAGAAAGACAGTCCCTGTAACTTCAAGCATAGAAGAAAACAGAATGAATACCTTTTTAGCACCAACTGGTTTGGCTACATATGTTGCATATGCCACACTCACAATTTTTTCAACTTTAGTCAAAATATCCTGTACTTCAACCTTGATGCCAACCTACAAGGAAGGAGGTAAAGGAGGAAGGAGACAAAAAAGGTATTTACATCATTGTCAGTTGACTTCAGAAAAAATAGTGCAGTTTTCCAAATTAATCATTTCCATTTTCTTCAATTTAGAAAAGTAAAAAATCCCACCAAACTCTGCTATCACTGATACATCTGTGAACACACAGAACGTAACAATATTTGCTGAGCTCTGAAAAGCTTGTAGTAAAACCCCCATGTATGTATTTTTAGCATTATTTTATATATATATAATATATATATTATATATGTATATTGCATTATTTTAGAGTAGAATAAAAAGTAAGAAAGACACTTAATTATAGTTTTATGGATATCTCTTTCCATGTACTTGCGTGCCATTTTGAGTCCCTGTATGAATCTAAGAACTGTATAAGAAAAATAGTCTATATCAACATATAAAACACAATGAGACACTTGAAGATGAAACACTGTGTTTGGTCCAGTGAGACATACCTGACAGGCATCAATGCTTCTGATTTTTTTCTAATTTTTAGAACCTTTTGGAATACATTTACTATGAGATACATCACTGACATTAATATTAATGAGAATTGGACTTAGGCACAATGCAGAGAAAAGTAACCTTAAGGTTCCATTCTGATTTCAAGTAAGTGATTGGGCAATGCATTGAATACCTGTTACAATATGAAGAGTAAGAACATGCATACACCCGAGATAAATATTTTTTCATCAAAAGTTTTGAGAATACTTAGAACTCTAACTATTAATTGAATCCTAGCTCTGATCCAAAGATTGATTAGAGATCATTAGGTTTGGGCTGGGTCAACACCACCTATCTCATCCTGTCCATTATACCTGCCAAACGTTTTAAGTCTTCAGGGTCCAGTTTCTATTTTGACATGGATCATAGAAACATGCAATTATAATAGTCATGAAACCAGAATTTCATTAGGCAGTGTGATTGCTTAGATATGTGCACAAAGCTCCTTCTGACACCAGTAAGATTGGACTCATATTGCATTCCTCTACTCCTCCCACCTCTCTTTTCTTTAAATATTGTTAGGAGTAAGAGTGATGATCTTACCTCCATGCTGGTTTTGAATGCTCTGTTGACCTTTGCTTTGATGGTAATAATTTGTCCAACCCTGTTAAGAAGCATAACATCTCATGATATGTAATCATGCAGCTTAGTAAGGGTTTGAACCTGCTTTTCTGGGTATTTTTAATAGTAAAGAAGAAATCCGCATTAATCAGTCAGCATCTTCCATACTATACCAAAAATGCACTGAAGAAAGGTTTAGCACTGTTATTCATCAGTCAGACTTCATTCATGATGGATAATTATTTCAGTCACCCAGAAAACTGCATAATCTCAACACCAGCATTCTGTCTCCTTGCTGATGTCTACGTGATCACAGAATCAAAGAATGGTTTGAAGGGATCTTACAGATCACCTAATTCCAACCCTGCTGCATTAGGAAAGGACACCCCCCACCACTCCAGGTTGCTCCAAGCCCCATCCAGCCTGGCCTTGAACACTTCCAGGGATGGAGCAGTCACAGCTTCCCTGGGCAACCTGTGCCAGTGTCTCACCACCCTCATAGTGAAGAACTGACGATGTCAGGTGTGCTCCAGGCCCCAGGTCCTCTGAGATATTATGGTCTACATTCTACTTTTGTTCAAAGTTACACCAAATCACCAAGTATAAAGAGCTGCAAAACCACACATTTGCATTCTACACATTCACACATAGCGCATTTGCATTCTCTAGGATACAGAGATGTGCACATCAGGAAACAATCTTGGGACAAAACATCCTCTTTGACATCTTTGAAGGATGGAGAAAGAGCTCAGTTTCCAAGATCTGGCCAAGAACAGGGCTATAGCATGTCTCTTCTGTCCTAACATACCTTTGAACAACTACACTTTCATATTTATCTACATAGAGTACCTCAACAGAATATCTTTCTACCTACATAGAATCACATTTACATGAAAAAATACATATATATTGTTTTGAACTTCTGAAGTACTTGTTAAGTGTTGATAACAGAGCAACAACCCTTGTTTTCAAACCCTTAATAATCTAAGACAAGGTAATGCTGAAAGGGTCAAAAAGAAGGCAGTTTCCTCTAAAGTTGTCTTATTGAGCAGAGCAGTAAAAGGACATGATGTGCATGGTAAGTCAGAACTGCAGCCAAAATAGCTGGGCATCAGGCCACTGCCTTCAGGGAAGTTAGACTGACTCAAAACCACTGAAGATCAGTCCCAGAGCAGGCAAAGTTCAGCCAGCTATATCTGAGACTGCAAAATATAACTCAGATCACTTGAATACCTATGAAATAGGCATTTATGGCTAATAATGACCACAGTTTATTAAAAAAATAAATATTTATAATTTCTTCCTAATCTGATGAATAGGGTTTTGATACGTAAAGATAAGGCCTTTCTTAAATTGTTTCTGTCAATGCCAGAACTTCAAACGAATTGTGAGCAAACACTGGAGTGGGGAATAGGAAAGCTGCTTCTGTATAATACCAGACAGAAACAACCAACTACACAGAAACTTCCACTTTCTTGTTCACTGTCAAGAATACAAGTGAAAGCATCTGAGTAGACATGGGAGAAAAATGGTTAGAGGAAAGAACTAAAACCATCTGCAGATACACTCATTAGCCTTTGAAGAACATATTCAGAAGGAGTTTCTCCATCATCACTGCTAAGAAAAACACATTAATTAACATAATAGTTCTAAACAGCACAGCTAAGGGAACTACCAGCTCATTCATCACTAGAAGAATGGATTCAGAACAATAACACAACATTTATGTTTAAGATTAGAAAAGAAGATAACATTACAGTCTCAGAGAAAGGCTTTAGAAATCAAGTACCTTGAAACAATTCTGAAGTATCTGTCATAAAATTTCCAAGAGGATTACAGTAACACAGCAGTAGAGGTGATGATGAGTACAAGGCAAAAAAAGAGAGAATTCATTTGTTAGATAGTTTGTGATTGAACAGGACACATACTGATAGTGAGTGTGAGGCTTTCCTTAAGAGAGGGAGAGTTCAGTCTCTACAGATATTCGCAGAAGACATCATGGTCCCTGTCAAGAACATCAAGATGGTGGATTGTTCATGAAGTCCCAAAAGGGACTGCAGAGGTTGCTGGCAGGCTTACTAGCAGGGCACTATTTTCATGTACAAAGGCCTTTGTCTGTGACACCTCCTGGATGATCTCTCTTCCACTGCATGAGAACATTGCATGAGAGGTTGCAAGAAGCAAGTCTAGGTCTGTCCACCTCTGAGGACACTGCAGGGAGGGAACAAAAGCACAGAGCTGGACGTGCTCTCACTCAGCATGAGACACCAGTCCCACCAGTACCCAAACCCAAGGTGGGTTTGGACTTCACAGACATTAGAATCCCTGACTCACTGTCTGACCTTTTCCCTGGTGCTCCAAGCAATCTGTGCAGCTGGACTCATATTTCATTAGAGAAAAATCTGGGGCCATATCAGAAAGAAAAACAGATGTCAGAACTGACATTATCAGACACTATGATAGGGAATGGTCTTTTCATAATTTTGGGGGGGAGCTGTTTTAAAAGTAAATGTCTTACATTGTATCATGTATTCTGACTTGGGACAAATTGATTTATTTAAGACAAGGGAGATGAACAGCTTGGGTATTTAAATAGGTATGTGAGGGCAGAAGTCAGAACACCACAGTTTCACTTGTAACTGGCAGAAAGCTTTGGAAATGTATCAGAATGAACTGAACATGATTCACATATGGAGCACCAGCAAAATTTAAATAAATGCATCAGATGTTCTTAACTACAGATGAACTGCTGCATATTAAATGACATAGAAGAGGGTTTTATTTGTTATCCTGGCATAAAACTGAGTTTTGCAATATATAGATTTGTGGAAATCTCTGTTACCATGTCAACTGAGAAGAAATGGACACAGAAGAGTTAATCCTTACAGAACATTTGGTAACTTGAGTTAGGTAAATGAAACCTTACAGCAGGTAACTTACAAAACATCTTTTTAATTTACTAGAGTGAGGTACAAGAGCTCTGTTATTTATGCAAGATGTTCACATAATCAAAAAGATCTGTAAAAATTTAGGAAATTACACAGTAAGCTACAAACAGGATGTTAGGTATAACCTGAGGCTGAAAAATAATTACTGAAATCATAGTTGTACCCTAAATTCTTGTTAGAAATTAAACACTGGCACCAGAAGTTGACGGAGAACTAGAGACATATTTGGAAACAAATTTGGATAGAAAAGTATTTTAATTATATTTTAGAAGCTCTATTTTGCTCTCAGAAACAAGAGAAAAAACTGCTCTGAAGCTACTGAAGTCTGAAGTACTATGCCTGAAAAAAAACCCCACAACATTACCCTGACTTCATTTCTAGGACTCTTTGATTAGTTTTCACAGAGTGAATTTTCCTCCTAAGGACAAAATAAAAAACCCAGGACAATTACAGGCAGGAAAAACACTTTAAAACTAACTTTGTAAAACACACCAAGATATTATCAAGTTCTAGATTCATTATGACCATGTTAACTCCTTTGTTACTGGTTCTAGTACTCATCCTAATGGTCACTACTCCAAAAATCTGCTGTTCAGAAATGTGAGCAGATGCGTATTTTACACTTGTGTATTGCAAAGAGTTTTGAATTGGCATCAGCAGTGTATCTGGCAGCCAATGTTGCTTGGTTCACAGTCAGGACAACTCCATGTGCACTGTTGTGGTGTAACCAGGTCTATCACACAAAACCTACAAAGTAATTGCTTTAAGTTTCTGTAAAGATATGGTTTCAGAATAAATGTGCTGTTCCTCTTACAGTGTCTTTTATCTCTTGGAAAACTCTGAAAATCAGTTGAAACAAAAACTAAGTCCTGTATTATGTTGTAGACTCACTCAATATTTGGTGATCACAAACACAAATCATTTGCTTTGCTGCATGAACACGTTTTCAAAAAAGCTGAAAGAAAGAGATGGTAAGAAAGAAACTGAAAGAGCACTTAGCAAAATAAAACAATTAATAGACTAGGTTATAGATATGTATTCCTTATTTAACAGAGATAAGCAATGCATTAACTGCAGCACTCACGTTTAACTATAGCCAAAGATACCTGTGCCATCAGTTTCTCACATGGCATCTAGGTTGTCAAGTCAAACTGCCGTTCATTTTTGACCTGTGAAATTGAGCTGTTTCCTAGGTGGATCAGGCTATCACAGATAAAAAAGAGCAACCTCAGGACTTAACCGTGCAACTCAAATCTTGTGTATCTCAGATCCTCTAATGCCTCAGTTTATCTCTGCCAAATAAGAAACTCCAGAACGAAAACGTTTGACTGTCGTTAGCTGTCTTTGTACCTGGCAGCCTCTTCAAACTGTATGTCATCCATAGATGCCGTCACGCAAGACACACCAGCATGTTTCTCAGCTTCAAAAGAGACACATGGACACACAGTTACCACGTGGCATTTGCAGCAAGCCATTCATAGAATCCTAGTATCACAGAATCATTAGTGTTGGAAGGAACCTTAAAGATCACCAAGTTCCAACCCCCCTGCCATGAGCAGGGAACCACTAGATCAGGTTGCACAAAACCTTGTCCAACCTGGCCTTAAAAACCTCCATGGATGGGGCATAAACAACCTCCCTGGGCAACCCATTCCAGTTCCTCACCACCCTTATAGTGAAGAATTTATTCCTAATGTCTAAACTAAATCTCCCCTCTCTCAGTTTAAAACAATTACCCCTTGTCCTATCACTATCTTCTCTGATGAAAAGCCCCTCCCCAGCTTTCCTGTAGCCCTTCAGGTACTGGAAGGTACTCTAAGCTCTCCCTGGAGCCTTCTCTTCTCCAGGCTGAACAGCCCCAACTCTCTCAGCCTGTCTCCAGAGCAGAGCTGCTCCAGCACTTTGATCATCTCTGTGGCCCTTCTCTGGACCCTCTCCAACCAGTCTATTCACCTATATACTTGTGCATGGAGATAGAGATGAAACACAGCAGGTCACTTCTTCCTTTGATCACCCTAACAGACGTCTCTGGTGGACCCCTTAGGAAAAAAGCAGCTAAATAAGTTAATATTTACCACGAATAAGGGTAACATGAGGAGATGAGACTAGATGATCATAATGATTCTACTCAGTTTGAAAAACTCTACTTAAGGTCTTTCACAAATAATGAACATTCTGGTAAAAGAGGGCTAACAAGTATGTTTCCAGACAAAAGGAGTCAAAAAGCATTAACAAGCCTACAGAAATTTCAGCAATCTCCTTCAAAATAGGATGTTGTAAATATCAGCTTTGTTTAAACCAGTGTGGTAGTTTTTGGCAATCTGAGGATTCTCAGACATGGGAGAGAGATCTAGTGGCTTATTATTGTGGTCACAGCAGTGGAAAGCAGCTAAGTATATGTCCTCAAGGCTGTGCTAAAACAACAGAAATAATATAAAACCAAAAAAACCGCAAGATTTGAAAAATCAAAACCAGGTACTTATTTATTGCAAATTTTTTTTACCAAAATTCAAACTGTGGTTTTAATCTCCCTATGATGTATTTGATTATGAAAAGTAATGAAACCTATTTGTATTACCTAAAAAGTTAATTTGGAAAAGGCAAACATCTTTTTCACTGTTAATATTTAATAGCCAAATAGTTATATTTTTACAGCAAGTTATTTGATTTATTATTTATTTGACCGTAGCACCTAGAGTTCCAAGTCAGAGGCTAAATCTTCACCACCCTAGGAGATGTATAAAAGCAGGGAACTCCTGCTCTGAAAAGTTTCCTGAGTGCAGAAGTTTCCAGAGGCAAAAGACAGGACTAGCAGTAAACACTGAAAATAGTTGCCCAAAAGGCAAGCATTTTCACTCCTAAGCAGCCCCATATTTTTAGTTAGCATCACAAGAAAAAGCTTGCAGAAATTAGAGAGGATGATGCATGAGTTTCTTGAGGATTTCCCTTTGAAAATACAAGGGTAAAACACAAGAAAGCACCTATCCAAAAGAAAGCAAACTCTGATGAAAGAGATCACTAATGACTATGAGGCTGAAGGCACCACTGTGACAGGTAATACGAGATTGAGATAGCCATAAGTAGCATTAAAAGTGAGGAAACAACCAGCCAGGTGGATCACATCTATAGCAGGAGGATATGAAATGAGGAGGCACTAATGTGGGTGAAAGAGGGCACAGCCAAACAAATCCCTGACTGGCACGTTGAACCTGCTGTGACACAAATGCAAAGTTGGGAGAGATGTTAACAATCCTTTGTGTGTGACAGGATCAGCCCTGTGGTGTGAGTTACTACTGCTGCCTTCAACCTAACCAGGTTAAGAGCAGTTCTGAAAGATTAATTGAAAGTGGGCACTGGTGGCAGATTCGCAGCTGGTGAAGATCAACTGAAGACCAGGGAGCAAGGGTGGACTTTTGTAGCAGCTGGGGCTCTGTCATTTCAGAGGAAGGACTAGAGTTCAGGGGTTGCCAAGATCAGTTCAGAGTTTCTTCACAAAGAGCACAGTTAAGGGGTAAACCACTGAAAGGCTGGAACCAAATGACTCCCTCGTGCTCGCGTGAATCTCAAAAAACAAACCCAGGAAAGTGTGATCACATTGAGAACTCGCTACACGCCAGGTAGTTTCTGGGTTACTGTGTGGGACAAGCTCCCCAGGATCCCAGCTCTTCCTGCAAGAAGAAGGGATGAGGCTGCAGAGCTGCAGACCTGAGCGCCCCAAACGCTGCTCCCCACCAGCTCAGCGTGGAAACGCAGCAGAGGCGGCAGAGCCCGGGGTTATCCCAGCGCCCTGCAGGCGGCTTTCGCCTCCAGGAGCTGGCTGAGGAGGGATGTTTGTGAGGCTGAGCTTCCCCGGGCACAGAGCACGCTGCTTGGGTTTGTGGTTGGGTTTTATAGATTTATATATATATATATTTCTATATTTATTTATTTATTTTCTCTGTCCATGCCCCTGTATTCTTAAATTAGTACTTTTCTTTCTTCTGGTATTTCTTTTCCTACCCTTTTTTTTTCTTTTCCCCCCC